TAAATCAGCTGTATACATGTGCCATATTTTATCATATATGGCGTATGGATTCTGAAGATGAAAATAAGAGCGAAGATGAGGAAGAGGTTGTGTCAGCCCTTCTAGATTCAGCTATCGATGAAATGGACGATGAATTGATCAATATGAATTCAAAATATGAAAGTGAAGAATATAGGTGATAAATTGAATTTAATAAATATGAAAATACTAAATCCAAACTATTTTGTAGTGACGATGATAATATATTTTCTGATCGTGCTATTGATAAAATGCATAACGTGAAAAATAACGAAAAAAAAGGTTATGAAAGTGAAGAATATAGGTAAAGATATACTCTTTTTGATTGAAGTGCAATGAATATTGCAAATTTGTAACGATGGTGATCATATATATTCAAAACGATTAATTACTTCGTCATCGACCATCACCAAAAATGACAATGATGATTGGATATCAGTTGAATCTGGTCATGATCAAAGACCAAAGATCTTACCGGAGTTCAAGGAAAAGGCCGGTCCTACTTTTCCAGTTGGTTGTTGTTCTTCTCCAGCTACTTTTTACAATGAGATGTTACCTGACTCTTTATTTGATTATATTGTTACATGCACTAATACTCGTGCTCGTGTTTACTTTGATAACATCCCATCATCATCACAAAGTCAAGAAATATGGAAGCTTGTAAGATTGTTTTTACATCTCTAAATATATTGAAATCTAGATTTCAAGATTTCCCGTGAGGAAATGAAAAAGTTCTTTGCTATAGTAGTTCAAATAGGTATGATTCAAAAACGATCAATCTATGAATATTGATCGACTGATCCTTATCTTTTAACATCAATATTTCATCCACCACACTATTTGTCATGTAATCGTTTCCTTTTCATTCTTCGGTAAAATATTTTTATTTTTTGGACCATCGTGTCATTCATTCTTTCTTCTCATTAGTTTTCTTCGATTTGCGGATTGTGAAAATCTAGTTGCGGATGATCTATTGCAACGAATACGTCTGTTTCTCAATCAAGTGAGAGAAATATGTCTGTTGAAATATATTCTATACAGAAATATTGCTGTGGATGAAACATTATTACTGTACAAAGGACGATTAGTATGTTGATGTCTTTTCATTGATTCGAAGTTTCTATGGGATTTTATAGTTATTCAAACAATATTATCATCGAAAAAGAGCTCGATTCGGCATCAAGACTTTTGCTTTATGTGATTCTTCCAATGGATATCTCGTCAATTTCGAAGTATTTACTGGACAAGGTGAGAATATTTTCAATTCATTCTGCGTCTAGAAACATGTTGAATTTCAAGGTATAGAATCATGGGGAAATGATTTTTCGGATGTTCAATCATTTTCAGTGTCTGAGAAAATAGTCATTCATCTAGTTGGGCATCTGTTGTATAAATACTACTGTCTATATGCTGATAATTGGTTCGTAAGTGGTTGTTTAGCACGATGGTTGCTTGAATATCAAACAACAATTACTGGAACTATAGAAAAAAATCAAGGTGAGAAACTTCTTTTCATTTCAATAAGATATTATTATCTATATTGAGAATCATTCATTATTATTTTCTCCATCAAGATGAAAAAGCAATAAGCAAGAGAAGATAGATAATCATAAAGTGCAATACTAAATGACGTTCAATGTATTTTCTTGCAAAAGTCCTGCCATTGAGCATGATATTTATTTTCTTCTGTCACATTGTTGAATTTCCCATCTTTGAAAGTTTTGACTATCTGATATGCTCGAATATCATTTGGAAATCGACAACGAATCGTTTGATTGATGAGGTCGGGAAAGATGTATGTTTGACCACGATTTCGAATTTGACGACGATCAAGATGTTGAGATAAACGAGTATATAATTCTTTCCGCTGTTCTGCATCATTTCGATTTGTCTTACTGGGTTCTAATAGATCAATTACATCTAAAAATTAAAAAGCAAAGAGGGAAATACTTATAATCGGTACAATGACCATCAAAACTCTTACCGATTATTTGAATGGAAATCTCGAGATTACGCTTCCGAAATTCTTCAATTATTTGATGTCGGATTTTCATTTGATCATCAAGCATCATCTTAGTTTTTTTCGCACTATCATTGCTGCTATCGTGGGTGTGGGGTGCGGGTACGGGTGTGGGTGTGTGTGTGAGTGTGGGTCGTGAGTGCGGGTATATTTCTGATCCACACACACCTACACCCACATCCACCCACACGCACACACCCACCCACACCTACACCCACATCCACCCACACGCACACACCCACCCACACCCTAAATGGGTAAGACGAATTATGCAATCAAATGAATATTCTTCGAC